GGATTATAATAGCCAATGATTTTTGGAGTCTCTTATGATGTATCTTTTGCAGTTATGTGTTGTTTTTTTTGTTTGTTGGATTTTTGCATTAGCTGTGTGGTCCTTTATGCAGGGCAAGAATCTGAATTACTGCATGTTTTGTATATGCTGTATATGTAAAGGGTGGCTGCAGACAACCACAAAAACATTAATTTGTTTGCTGGTGTTTATTCACTGGAGATATAAAGTATTGATTATGTTCAAATGTTAAAAGTCAAAGGGTTTTGGTCATTTCCCAGTATCTGTGTATATTTGTTATTGGACTGTATCAATTTAAATGAGAAATCAAAAACTGATGCATTTTAAAACTGAAACGAGAACAAGAAGTTTACGGGTTTTACGCAACGTTTATTGATAAAAGAAAAGTTGTTTGAAGCTTCACAATAAATAATTGTGTCATTTTGTTTTATTTGGCAATAGTCCATTGTGGATGATTACAGGTTGATAAGAAAACTTTCAGAGATAAGAACTTTTCATACAAAAGGTAAAGAAGCTTCAATCCACAGATCTTTTCATTTATGTTTTCTCTCGTATTCTCTACCTTTCTTTTTCTTCCTGGTGCTCACTTCTTTAGACTTACTCCTGTCCTTTACAGCAGCATTAGAGATAAGAATTGAACATGCCAAATGTTTGTTTACTGGATTGTTCAGAGAACTGCAGCTGCACGAGGGCAGTGGTTTGTCACCATTTGGATTTGAAGAAACTCAGAAACTAAAGAGAAAAGAGTTTGTGGGAGAGAATAATACTATATTAGATTTATCTACCTACCTTTTTTTCCCAGTGGATATAAAAAAGTGCATTTTTTAAATGGGAAAAAATGAGTAATTTATCCTCATTGATTTTTGTGTGTGTGTGTGTGTGTGTGTGGGGGGGTGGGGGGGGGGGGGTGTGTGGGTGTGGGGGGGGGGGGGTGTGGGGGCCAAAGTGGGGTAAAGGCAGAGCAGCCAACTCAGGACCAGAAAGTCGTAGTTCGACTCCCAGCTGTGCCTCTGAGCAAGACACCCAATCCTCAACTCTCCTCAGGTGCCTACATAGCTACCCACTGCTCCACCTGGGTGTATCTCAGGTGTGATGGGTTAAACGTGTACATTCCACCTCATGTACCACATGTGATGAGAATGACAATACTTGAACTAAATACAAAGAACTAATTTCATCATGGCATGGCAACATACAATGATGACAATTTGTGTCATACTTCCTTCCCCCTCCCCCATCCATGAAAATTAAAGAACATCATTGCACTAAATATTGATTGAAATGGTTATTAATGGAGTTAATAATCGGGGAAAAAACGTTTTGGGGGATTTTTATTTTGGTTTCTGGCCCTATTGCATGATAAACTTTCCCTGGGTCAAATTGACCCAGGAATATCATGACTGTTCCTCAGAAACTAACACAACAGGAGGGTTAAGTTAATTTCATAGTTTTGTTACAATAAATAAGTTAAAGTAAGTTAAAATAATTTATGATTGATTAAATCATATTGTAATGTATACATTATTGTTTAAAATGCGCATTTAAAGGTTCTGGGTAAATGTTTCCAGAGTGGAACTGATGTTCAATCTGTTGTTTAGGTCTGAGCGATATTTTTAGTTGCACATCACACTCTGTAGAGGGCAGCATTTCTTTTCTCAGTCGGTGGTAGAGACTTGGAGCTGGTGCAGTGAAGTTTGTTCAGTTGTCTACTTGGATACAGAAGATGCACTGCAATTCAAGTTAATGCGGCCAGTGACTTATGAAATTTGTATTTGTGTTTTTATGAAAACAAGATGTTTATTATGATAGATCTTTCAAATCATTATGTTAGTCACATGTTTAAATTTAATATACAATGTGTCGACATTTTGTAAAGGTCAAATGACTTATTCGTCAAGTTGTTGAATAATATGGTTTATTGTTTAATCTGCTAGAATGATTAACTGTATGAACAATTATTTTATGTTTGTACAGTTCTCATGGCATGGTTGGAGGCACGTGTCCAAATAAATGCCAGTAAAAATCAACCATGTGTCCGTTATTCAACTGAGGGAGTTTCAGTAACAACCTGAACCCACAAGTGATGAAAATTGATGATCAGCATTTTGTTTCCTCCTTTGTTTTGCTTAACTAAAATTACACTTTCTATCAGCAAACGATATGTAGTTTCAGTAACAGCCTAATAAACACTGTTTATATAAATGAAAACACAAATTAGTACATTTGTAGCTTAAAAAGAAAACATTTGAATATTCATTCAATGAATTTTCAAAGAACAAAAGGTTAGTTTTTGTTCCTGCAAATATGTAACGTGTGTTTGATTCAACTCTGACGTCTTTTCTCACTTTGTTTTAAAATGTCAGCAAATAAGCAGCACGGTGGCGCAACTAGTAGAGCTGCTGCCTCTCAGCGAGCAGGTCCCTGGTTCAAATCCCGGTCCGGGGGCATGTCTGGGTGGAGTTTGCATGTTCTCTCTGTGCATGCGTGGGTTTTCTCCGGATACTCCGGTTTCCTCCCACAGACCAAAAACATGCATGTTAGACTGATTGGCAACTCTAAATTGTCCCTAGGCGAGAGTGAGAGAGTGAATGGTTGTTTGTCTCGTTTGTCTCTATGTGTCCCTGTGATGGACTGGAGACCTGTCCAGGGTGTACCCCGCCACTCGCACAGCGATTGCCGGCCATGGGCACCGGCGACCCCCGTGACCCAAAATGGAAGAAACGGGTAAAGATAATGGATGGATGGATGTATTCAAGCATCAAGACATGGCAGAGACTAAAAGCGTGTTGTTTTAATTTATTGACCTCCAGATTTTCAGGTTTATGACCAGTTTCCAGAGACACACATAGGTGTCGAGTATTTTACTCACAGAAAATAAGGGATTGTTAAAGGAATGTTGATACTTTATTTGAATCTTCTGTTTTTAAAAAATATCAGCTATATTTATAAATTGCTTCTTTACTGCATTAAACTTTTTAAACGTTTCATCTGTCTTTTAAAGACAGCATGTCTTCAGCATTTACAAAAATAATAATAATAATAAAGATGGCAAATGGTTATTGAATATTTTTAGTGTTTTTGTTCCATGATGATAAATGTGTACATTGTGCTCTTCTTTACACACACATAGACACACAGCACAAAACTACATTAAAAGATAATGTAGATTAATTTAGCAGAATGCTCTTTGTGTTTGTAGGAAACTAACCAGCAGGATCACAGTCACCAATTTCAATTTATTGTTGTTGACATTAGTAAATAGGAAAACTGCATGAGTTCAGTTAAAGTAGCTACAATATGTTATAGCGCTGGACACTGATGGGTGAGATTTTAACAAATCATTAGTATTGATCAAAAACATGTGCAGCCATATTGAGATAAATGAGACTTTTCTTCATAATTTACTTTGAAGACCGAACACCACGAGCTTCAAAGTGAAGGAAACATGAACCAGAGCAACTTTAAGAATTGTCTCCAAAAATGAGACCTCAGACCATAGAGCAGACATGCCCAATACGTCAATGGCGATCTACCAGTTGATCTCAAAGGTATTATTGTTAGATGGCGTGGCATTAAAAAAAAATAGATATCAGCCATAGACAGATCCATCTATGAAACTTGTCCCTTGATTGACAGTCTGAGGTCTCGTTTACACGACGTGAAACATTTGGCCGTTCATTTACAGACAACAGCCCTCGTTCTCTCTGAAGTTGAAGGTTTTTGAATCCAAGTCTCAAAGTGAAGATTTTCGGGGGAACCCCCACAGAGGTATGCAATGTTCCAACTTCACGTGTGAAGTCCAGACCAGTCGCACATGCTCACTACAGGCGGCTGCAGTCCCAAGTTTTCCTGCACTAACAACAGTTATAATAAATGGCAGAGAGCAGAGTTTTTTTTGTGCTGCTCACCCTTTTTCAGCATGTAGGAGCAAAACTTATGAAATCCAGGCTCCAAAGAGACATTAGTGTATTCACCAGTTTGGACATCACTGCCATGCAGACACTGCTTGCACAATGAATGCGGCTGAGCCCTCAGGGTTGCCAGATAAATTTAAAACGTCTTATTTAGCCCCTCCTTTTCTGTGCACATGTTCAACAAACACAACACACACCTCTTCTTAGAATATCTTTACTCAGCACATATGACAGTTTAGGTCAAAATACTTTCATTTTAAAGCAACAGTACCATAGTTCATAATTTCTTATCTGGCAACCCGACTGACATGGAAACTACAGTGTTTTTATGTAAACGCGCTCGTTTTTTGTTTAGTACCCTGAATAAACATTGACAAAATAACGTTTCCAGAGATTGTTCTCGTGTAAACGGGATCACTTTGACTTGGTCGTTTTAAAAGTAGCTCGCATGCTGCAAAAGTCTAGGCACCCTGCATTAGATCATTTAATCTCAACACAAACATCTTCACTGAATCTTTATTCTGCAGGTCTGAAGTCGCCATTTTAATTAGTTTTGTCAGTTTTAGCAGATAACTGTTGTATTTTGAGTCTTTGGGTACAAGGACAAAATATTCAACCAGATTTCCAAGTCTACAGGAAAAGATAATTGTAGGTTCAGTACCACTTTACATACATGTTCTTTCTGTGCTAATATTTGAACACATTTTGTGAACTTTTATCATTTCATGTTTTCTCTTTTCAAATTTTGTTTTTAGCAATCAGATTTAATTCCAGGTTAACGCTAACCCAGCAGGACCGCTTCTATTTTATTTTTTACTTTTTTGAAATTCAAATGTCTTTGGATTAAAATAAAACGAGCTCTCACTGAAATTGTAAGACAAGAATACTTGACTGTGGCAGTTCTCAAAGTCAGAACAGCGTTTGAAATATCAAGCACTTTACAGTCAGGGTCGTTCCAAAGAAGTCCTGATGTTTTGTTGAATCACAGTGTTTGCAGGTCTTCTATCATCAAATCATCTCTATTTGTAGATCCTGTCTTGCTTGCTTCATGGAACAGACGTCGTAATGTTAGAGAAAAACGGTCTGTTGTTTGGCTGAAATCTGGCTGACTGTCACCTCTGTGGCGGTGGATCCTGTCAGGATGCAGGCAGTCTTTTGAGGCGCAGTGAAATGATGCAGAGCGGCATTCTCAGTGCAGTTCAGGCATGCCCCATAGGTCTCCTGCTGCTCATTTGAGAATCTCATGGAGGCACTCGTGTCTTTGTTGCATTGCGATGTGAAGCCAAACCCTTCTTGTGGTCGTGGGCTGCCTCTGTGGATCATCTGCCGTAACGCAGATGTGTCTCTGTACAAGCACTCGCGAAAGTTGGGCTTACACAGGAGGTACACCACTGGGTTGTAGATGGTAGAGGATTTGGCAAACACAGCGGCTAGAGCAAATGCAGAAGGAGGAACTTGTGTGGCATCACCAAAAGCAGCCCACATGGCAACAACAGCATAAGGGGTCCAGGCACCGAGGAAACCTACGCAGACCGCTATAGACAGCTGTGGAAAGAACACAAGCAAACACTCATCCGCTGATACAAAAAATGTGAAATATAATTAGGTTTCATGCAAGTAAAGTTTCAAAAGTGTGTTGTACATGCAACAGTCTTAAGAATGCATTTCTTATTTTAGATTTCATTCCCACTAATGATGCTACAGATGAATGAGACAACAAAGATAAAGCAAATAATCAGCAATTTTGTCCTATCTTTTTCAAATCCTGTTTACTGCAAACTGTGAAATCAGTGCCACTGAGGCGACAGTGATATCCTCTGACCTTCACAATGAGAGTGTGTGCATTTGAGGTCTTGGTCTGTGGTGAGACATGCTGCTGAACGGCCTGACGTGACCCCCGCACAGTCAGCAGAATGAAAGCGTAGGAAAGGAAGATGACGACGCAGGGCAGTGCATAGCAAAAAACAAAAAGGCAGACAATGTAAGACAAAGCTGAAAGCTCGTGGTTGGGTGCATGCCAGTCAATGCAGCAGGCTGTGCCATAAGGTTCAGCACTGTAATGGCCCCACTGTGCCAAGGGCCCCACAGCAAAAACAGACGCGTAGCACCAAACTCCAGCCACCAGGAGGCGGGCATGTGAGGAGGAAAACTTGTTCCCTGAGAGGAGAAACATAAAAAGAGGCTTTCCGTTTATTAGGGTTCATTCTTTGTTGGATACTCTGGTCAGCTTTGTGTTAAAAATCCGTTGAGTTATCATCATTGTGCTTGTGTTAACAACACTCACCATAGTTAGGGAGGCAGACTTTAAGGCAGCACACTAAGGAGAGAGCTGTGAGGTTTGTCAAGCTGCAAACACCAAATAACAGTCCACACATGGCATAGAGCTGGCAGGTGATTTCTCCAAACAGCCACCTACACACAAAGACAACCAAGAGTGAATGAGACAAAGAAGTATGCAGCTTGAGAATATACACTACCTGGACAAAAAAAAAGTTGCCACCAAAAAAAAAAAAAAAGGTCCCACACCAATATTTCGTTGGACTGCCTTTAGCTTTGATTACAGCATGCATTTGCTGTGGCATTGTTTCGATAAGCTTCTGCAATGTCACAAGATCTATTCCCACCCAGTGTTGCCTTAATTTTTCACCAAGATCTTGCATTGATGATGGCAGATTCTGACCACTGCGCAAAGCCTTTTCCAACACATCCCAAAGATTCTTAATGGGGTTAAGGTCTGGACCAGGCATGGGCAAACCCCGGTCTTGAGAACATCTTATCACAAGCAGAACTGGTTTGTTCCACTTTGGAGTAAGCTGTTGGGGGAAGAATCAGTTTTGTTGTGTGTTTCCTTGACTGATG